ACTCCAAACATTGTCCTACCTGCTTCACTCCTTGGGTGCGATGTGAACTTGCTTTTCTTTCCGTTCCCCATTGCATAACTATTTCTGGTCCAGGGCTGGCCAGTACTGGAATACTGATGCATGGGTCGGTCTTTGCAGCCTCTGGCTTCTCCCTGCCTGCCCAAAGCCAGTCTGGTGCTTTCTGGTGCAGAAGGACAAATGTCCACCTTCCTAACCCGTTGCTAACACTGGAGGCTCTGAATGTAATCACTGGAAGAGATGGAGTGCTCATGGCGCTGGGCAGATTAGCTCACCCACAGCTGCCCACATCTGGCAGAAGCCAGATAAAAGAAAGTCCTAAATCTTCCCCACCAGAAAGCAGCTGAGAATGGGCACTATTGGCCAAATCTCTGAAATTATCTGACTGATGAAGGAGCTAATGTTTACAAACATGCTCCAGTTCATGCACTAAAGTGCTATACCTTGTCCCAAGCAGCCCCTGAGACTAAGGGTGGATGGGCAATGGGGGTGTTGCCCCGGTGTCAAAGCAAGCTGGGCAGCCAAGGTTTTCAACAAGCACACAGAGAATAGCTCAGGGAATCAGGAGATGTGATGGAGAAGAGGCCACTTGCACCATCCCCATTTTTATCCACAAATGTGCACTCCCATCCTCAACTCTTAGGTTTGATTTCAAGGAATGCCACTCCACTCAATGCAGTGCATCCCCAGCCTGCAGCCCGGCAGGCCTCAGAGGACCATCCTTCCCAAAGACAAGAGACTTCCCATGTTAAGTGATGCTCTGGGAGTGGGGCAGCTAATTCCTCTTGCAAGTGCTTCTGTGTCTCTGCTGAGACATGGGCCCATATTTGCATTCAAAACATAGACGTCAATTGCGAGTTTCCAAACAAGAAGAGGGATAAGAAGGCTTCCTCTCTGCTCTTCCTTTATTCGCAGTGTAAAAACATCCCTCGCCAAATGAGGCAGTGTTTGCCATCACTTAGCAAAGTTCACATTCCCACAAGCACAGGCAGGCATGAGGAGGAGCAAGGATCAAGGGGAGGGGGGGAACCATCACACCAGTACCCGCAGGTCATGGTCACACAAGACAATACTTTGCAAAATTTGGAAGCGGGAGGAATGTGAGAAAGCTGAAGAGGAGGATGTTTATTAACATATAAGAATATCTCCAAAGGGTTAGTGTCCTGTGAGGATAAAAAGGGATCCCAAGGCAATGCTGTTTGAGCTATTGATGAGGAAAAATCTGGAAATCCTTATTGAGGCAATCCTACTGCTGGTGTAAAGAAAAAGAGAATAGCTTTTTCTCACATTGATGGTACTGAGGGTTTTTCTAAATAAGGAAACTTCAAATTGATTCCTTAATTAATTCCTTTGTATAATTTCATTAAACATTATGATGTGAATTCATTTCCACACCCGGCTCAGCCTCTGTGGCCAAAAAGGCTGCTGGCTCCCTATAGCACAGAGCAGGAAGCCTTTCAGTTCAAGAACTGCAGTCTCAGCCTTGTTGACTGCGTCCAAGTGGTCAATGGAAGGCAAGGGAAAGCCCAGTAGTGAGTTTAAATAATTGTCTACAGACATTTGAGAAGAAAAAAAAAAAAGGAATCACTGCATTTTAAATGGCAGATACAAGTTAGAGAGAGGAGAGCTTCCCTTCTACTCTCTTTCCTCATACCTCTGCAGCAGTCTCAGGCATATCTGGGAGGTGTCTCCTCATCCACAGGGCAATGCCAGCTGCTCAAGGCCCTTGCACTCCCTGGCCCATCAGTACTGCTGTCAATTGGGAAGAAGATGAAGACTATCACATGGGATTAACACAGGGCCTCTGAGAGGTGTTTGGAAGCCCCAGAGGGCATCACTGATGCCTGGCACTGCCTGCCACCAAGAGGGAATTCAACCTCCAGTTAATGTGTTTAACCAGTTATGCTGTGATAACAAAGGGACATCTGTGTTTGGGACACAAGCCCCATCACAGCCCATCAGCTGAAGCAGCTGTGGCAGAGCAGCTGCTCCCCAGAACCAACCCCTGGCAGCTCAGGGGCAGTTTCCTCCTGTTTGCAGGTCACGAAAGCATGGCAGGCACCATGTCCTCCTCTGAAGAGACCCAGACTGGTGTAACTTGCCAAGAGATGCTTCTTTGCATTTTTTCTACCCCTCGGGTAGACAATGTCTCTTTGCTTTCACCTTATGACTGTAACATAAAAATAAACTGAATTTCTCCCTACCCATTGCAGCTGCACTTCAGCTCACCATGGCTGCAGCTGGGACAGTCCCTGCTGAAATGTTGTATTTCAGTGCAGGAAGGCGCGTGATGCTGCCACCTGCTTAACCAAGAGAACTTGCAGAGCTCCTTCCGCCCTTTCACTTGTTAACCTCACTGCAGACCACTGAGAAAAAGGGCCTCCTTGCACTGGAGCTGGGTCTGCTGGCAGCTGGACGGGCCTCTGCTGCAGCCCCCGCAGGGTTCTGCTGCTCAGGTCTGTGGCCAGGCCACAGGCACTGCTGCCAAGAGCAGCTTTGGGAGCTGCTGAGAACCAGTTTGGTCACCCAGAGCAGGGAAGGTGCACAGCGCTGCTCAACTGGACTCAGTAACGCTTGGACTTGATGATCTTTGAGGTCTTTTCCAACCTAAAATGGTTCTGTGCTCTCCACACCTGCTAACCCAAGCTGGGGAAAGAGCAGGTTGTGCTGCCTGGTACAGAGCCCTGCTCTGCAGCCATTTCCCGATAATCATGTAACCTCCCTGGTCTGTGCTCGTCAGCACTACAGTAACACAAACCCCCCTTATTTTCAGGTAATATTTAACCCTTTCTCAAGCACCCTCCTGTCCTAAGACACATCAAGCTGAGAGGAGCAAGATTAGCAGTGCAGCTCAAAGAAAAATCTGTGTCTTCTGCTGGGAGGGGAAGCAAAGTGTGGCCATTCCCTCCTGCCCCCACACATCCCAACCTCTGGCTGTCCCAGGCTTGTTCTGGATTTTGTTAGGAACAGGTTGCAGGGACACATGCAGCAAGGTCTGGCCACAAGACCTGGCCTCCCAACACAGGGACCCCATGACCTGGAGGCAACACATCCTCCTCACTGTAAAAACATGTCACCTGCATCTGTGCATTCAGTAGTAGCTGTTATCTGGTTTATAAAACATTGAAACATCTGCAACTGTCAGCTGAGGCATCAAAGTCATCTCACTCCACGTGCCAGCTGTGGGATTGCCATGGGAGTGCCTGGCATGTGCCGGGCACGTGACTGCCATATGACCAGCGTGTGACTGGCACCTGACCAGCACATGATCCACGTGCGATCTGCACATGATCGGGGCACGACTGATGCAGGATGGGCACGCAACTGGCGATGCTGAACGGGCTTTTGCCAGGAGTGTTCCAACACAACTGAAATTCTCTTTTTTTTTTTTTTTTTTTTTAAATAGTTACATCTAAATGTATTGATCTAGTTTGCTCATGGGAATATTGTGCTAATCAATAACAAGGCTTTACTAAAGATACACAACATATGAGGGACAAGGAGCAGTTCGACCATGAAGAGCGTTTCACAGCCTTTTCCAGGGTTCCAGCAGCTTTCCCAAGGCTCAAAAGAGACGCAGGAAGCTTTTGGAGACATAAGTGTGAAGCTATGAAGTTCATTATCTAAACCGTAGTGAGGAAGCATTGAGAGACAGCGAGCCCAACTCCATCTCCGCCATCAGAGGTGTGCAGGGGTTCCTCGGGCACAGAGCACCCTCTGGTGGGAAAGCCATGGTTGTCCAAACGAGAGCAGAGCCACCCGTGGCACAAGACTCGGCTCTGTCAACTCCTTCTGGGAGGTGGGTTTCCATCGCACGGGGCTGCTTCACTGGCAGACCCCCGGTGCAACACAGCCCTTATGCCCATGCCCGCTGAGCACTGCCCGGCTCGGTACCCTGCCCTGGTCGGCGTTCCCAGTGTGCCAGCTTGCTCTCCTCGAGCTTTGAGGCAGTGATCCCGCGCCTTTTGGTCCCTACAGTCCCCTGCAGCTGCAGGGTCCGGCGGCCAGATCGCGTCCCAGCCACCTGCCAGCCCACGGCCTGACTGCCGGAGGGATGCTGCTGGAGGCAGGTGGCAGCTCCCTCCATGAAAAGGCAATTTGTAAACAACCACTCCCCAGCTTTGAAGCCTTTGTAGCTGTGTTAAGCGTGGGGCTGAGTGGGAGCAGGTCACACTCCCCTGGCTGCTGCAGTCCCCTTTGCCTTGGTCTCCGCAGTTCTCAGCCCCGCCCCGCTCAGGCTGCAGCTCCTTGGAGAAGGGGGAGGGCAGCATGTCTGTCTGCCTGCCTGGGGGATCACCCCCCCTTTTTGGTATAATGGGGCCTCCACACTGCCTGGTGTCTGCGGCTGCTCTCACAAAACAAGCAGCAGTCACAAATTTTAAGCAGCCCCCAGCAAAAAGGGCACAGGCAGCAGTTCAGTACTTCCAGCCCCTGGTTAGTCATGGACCTGCCACATATCACTGGATGTGCCCTGTCACATCACTTCCCATCACAGTTTCTACCTTAAAAGTCCCCCCAGCACCACAAAGGCAAGACCCATGACCCAATGCTTGTTCAGCCCCAGTCCCAGGCCACGCTGCTCCCCACAGCAGCATTCCTCTGAGTAGTACCTCGCTGAGTGCCAAAGCCAGCAGAGAGCAAGGTGAATCAGGGGACCTGGGACATCTTGCCCCACCTGGCTCTGCAGGACCCTGCACAGGACTCAGGATGCAGGGCTCGTTTCTCACAGGGATCGCCGTCATCTGGCATAGCCAAGTGCTGAGGGTGGCACAAACATTGAATAAATAGGCAGATTTTGCTCAAAAGCTCATGTTGTAAACATAGGTCAGGAGGCACCTTTTGTGCCTCAGGCCATTTCCCTGCCCCAAGCCAAGCTGCTGCCAAACAGTACTTTAACCCAGCTCTGGGTGTGTTTAAACAAACACAGGAGGTTCCCCAACACCCTTCCTTCGGGTCCCCACCTGCTCACTAGCACAGTGTTCAACACCCAGCGCTACCACAGCACCCCAGAAATGCGTTTCCTTCCCCGCCTTGTCATCTCAGCTGCCCTGGCCATCGCTACCTTCCTGAGCTGGAGGCTGCTTCAGACCCTATCTGGTGGCCAAGGAGGTAAGGTCTGGGACACGTGTGGGTTCTGCATGTCTGGCAGCATTTCTGTGCCATGAGGGAAATAACCTGGAGCTTCTTTTGGAGGTTCTTGGCAGGCAAACGCCTACAGGACAGAAAACACCATTTACACAGTGTTTGTGGAGAAAGCACTTACTGTGGAGCCCTGCAGCTTTATGCCCTTAGTGGGGTCATTGATCTCAGGTGTGGTGGGGAAAACAGGTGTCAGGCTGCTGGAGGTAACTGCCAAAACCTTTGCTGGGAAGGGCAAAATGCTTTTGGGAAGGCAGGAAGGAGCAGGAGGAGGGACTTTGGAGACTATTGCATTTCATGACTGAAAAATGCATCCCTCTCCTTCAGTCCCCATCATTCCAGGGCGAAGTCATTACTAGATTTTGCAGGCATTGTCATTCCAGGGCTGGACAAGTCAAAGAGCAACCCAGGATAGCTGCAGACACCAGCTGTGTTTCTTCCTGTGCTCCTGGTGTCCTTTGCCTAATTTTAACTGTGCTCCTCTTCCCTGTACAACAGTCTTCCCAGATCAGTGGGAAATGTTTAACTTCCCAAGGACCTGGGAGAAACTATCAAACTAACTGTCTCCCCAGGGCTGCCAAATGCCTGCACTGAGCAGATGAGGCAGATGTGCTGCTGCTAAAAAAAATAAAGTAACAAGGCAGTCATTAATCTCCCGCATTCTAACCCACTATGACCTCTTCACATCAAAAATAGGAAGATAAAAGGAAAGAACAAAGCCGAAATTTGAGAAATTAAACTGGCTCTCATAAAGTCTTTGTATTTGCTTTTGCCTTTTATATTTGCTTTGTTGTTGTCTCACTTCTGTTTGCCTTTTGCTTTTTATTTGCCTTTGCCTTTTTATCTACAAGAGAAAAATTTACATATGGAAGTGATGCAAGAAGTTACGTCATTTGAATCCCTAAATCACCCCAAGCCACTAAGAATCATCCCTTGCTTTCACATATATTTGGTAGCTGATGTTAACATATTAACAGACACAAAAGAGTTTGCAAGACATTGTGTATTCGTTGCTACAAACCAATTTACTACTCCTCAGTCTCTCAGAATATTTCAGAATATTTCAAGATATTTCAGAATATTTCTGGTAAACTCACCTCAGTTATGCTCATTTGAAAGCAAGGACATAGAAGGAAAAATTATGATTTAGTGGAGAATGGACCCTTGACAGCAAGTTATGGTCAAGATTAGTCCTCAGACATGGCAATTGGGGAAAGTGGGGTCTGGGTGTCCATAATTTCACACATTTGTGGAGACAGAAACCCATTTCCCAGCAGAGCCAAGCTCTTTGCCAGGCAGGGCTGGTCTCCCCTCTCCTACCCATCTTCTTTGCTTGTTATACATCTTTTCCATAGTGGAATAACTAGAAAAGATCGTGCCACAGCATCCTGTGCCGGGGGGGGGGGTGTCACTGACTCAGGGCAGAGGTCCTATAGGGCTTTCCTCACCCCCATCTTCACCTGATGTTTCCCAGGTGACCTGGCCCCCAAGGCGGAGGAGGCCTTCACTTTGACACTGGACACCTTCCTTCACGTTCAGCAGCTCAGGAAGAAGAGACTGAGAGCTTTCTGCAGCCGATCCCGCAAAGTCACCACACTGCCGAGGAGCCAGCAGGAGAGAGCTCACCTGCTTTCGAGTCTGAGGGTAAGCACCGAGCTGGACTTCCTCTACTGCCAAGCGCCATCAGTGGGAGTAGAGGAATGGCAGCAGCTTTTGGAGACGCTAGAAAAGAAAAATGTGACTCTCCCAGTGCCACTTCCCTACCACTGGCGCCACACTAAGGAGACGCAGCTGAGCAAGTTCAACCAGACGGAGATAGAGGCCATGTTAGGGTCTTACACCAAAGTGCTCTTTGTCAGGGACCCTTTCCACAGGCTGATCACCACATTCCTGCAAGGCATGGGCATCAACCCATCCTTCAGCAGCTTTGTTGAGGATGGTTTAGGCAGTGGAATACGCAACGCCAGTGTGGCTTGGAAACCACTCGTCAGCCTCTGCCTGCCCTGTCTCGTCCAGTACGACTACGTGGTGATGTTTGGCTTCCACAGGCAGGAGCTGGGCCACCTGCTACGGCGGGCTGGGCTGTCTGTGGACAGCCTCCTCCCCAGGTTCACCGACACCCAAGTGCTGTGGACCTACAGGTGGCTGTCAGAGCAGATGTTCAGTGAGCTGTCTGCCCAACAGAAGAAGAAACTGTCTCACTTCTACCGCTGGGACCTTTCTGCTTTCCCATTTTCTAGCAGTTATCTGTCAGACCGCCTCAGCACTCCAGAGACCTGGTAGAAATAGCCCATCTAGAGGGACTGCTTCAGAGAGCGTTAGTCCAAAAGCAAACACTTCAAGATACTGACAAGCCTTTGCTTCACAGCTGCCTGCAGCAGAGTTGTCCATGTCACAGCTCCAAAAGGTACGTCAGAGAGCTGAGACAGCCCACTGGCAGGGAAGGGATATCAAGGCTCTTCACGTGGTTGAATTGTATTTAACACGACAAGAGCAGGCACTAGGGAAACTTGTGGCACTAGGCTTGGAAAACTGCATGAACTGAACAGTGCAGCAGCTCTCAGCAAACCTAGCTCTTGGGTTAGGGTGGGTCAGACCTGCTGCAAACCACAGCAGTATCACACATGCTCTCCCTGCACTGAGATTCTGTATCCTGAGCTCCCTTTTGGGTCAAGAGATTTGGCAATGGCTTCTTTGTGATAAATCTCCCCACACAGATACAAGAAGCACTTCCAAAGGAGCACAACACTTGGAGTCTCCCTCTCCCTACTCTACCTAAGTAGGTGAGATATGACACAGGGTGGTACTCCCTCCTGGAGAACCACTGATGATGTTCCCAATCTTTTCATGCTCACAGAAGGTCATGCCTGGCCCATCATTTGGTCCTATCTGTTCTGTGTGAACTGTTCATGTTTTACTGTCTCACATCTCCTATGTGTTTAGGCTCAAGAGGGCCTTGGGGATGGCACATGATGCTTGCTCCATTCACAAGTTTTGAGTTTGGCTGCCTCTGTTACAGGGCAGACTCAAATGGGCCAAGGCCGACACTGAGACAAGGATAGTTCAGTCTGGCCCAGGTACCACGGAGAAAAAAAAACCTTCCACCTTGTCTCAGCTGCTGATGGGCCCCGTGGAGGTGGCTGGAAGCATCAGGATGCATCACTGTGCTGCTGTGGAAAACACAGTGGGGCTACTGTAAGCTCCTGCTGGCAGAGAAGCACAAGGACTGACTCTGCTTTCGTTCGGACTTGGCTGCCAGCGTGGCTGGATGGAGGCCCGGGCTCTCCAGCTGGCTCATCTGCTTCATCTGACTTAGTAGCCTGGAGCAGCCACCCACCCTCTCCCAGCCTTGGTCACTGAGCTGATCTAACTCACAGCCTCTAGGATGGGTCCATGTTTGCCAAACACCAAGGATGAACTGAAGTTGTCCAGCTTTCAAAACATAGCAGACTTTTACCATAGCATACTAGTCTCCAGAATACTTAGCAGCTTTATTTTGCATTGTTGTGACATTCACAGAGAATTCCTCATACATTCATGTAACAAGGACACCAATTTGACAATGCTCATTAAAGAATGATAGTGAAAACTGTTGATTAGAACTGACCTAAAACAGTTATCAAAAAACTTGCTCCCCCTCTCACACTGAGGGACACACAATTAATATCTCTAAGACATCAGATCACCAGGCCTCCTTTCATCCTCCCACAAAATCTCCAGCTACAGCAATTACAACCTAAGTGCCACTACTGTGCGCAATACTTTACAGTCTAGCAAGATGGCATAGTCCCTCTTCTGAGGATACAGTTCTGGGAAAGAGAGAAGCAGCAAATTTCCAATTATAGGTAATTAGAGTCTTGCATCCATGCTGTATTTCACTGGAAAGTACTAGAAAAGGAACATTTTTCTCTTCGTAAGTAGCTTTCCCTTCAGCGACTACGAGCTGAAATCCCACGCAGCGAGACGTGTGCGAAGAGATGTGACTCAGCACCCGGCAGAGGACAGGGCTGTGCGCTCACAGCAGGAGAGCTGCTCTCCAGCAGCTTTGTACTGCAGAGCACACCTCAATTTGGGTATCCTATAGCAGTACCTTCTCTTCTTGCCAGCCCTCTACAGCACATCCCAGTCCTTTCCTAAGTTCCAGAGGAAAAGCAATGTATGAAATGTTAAGACGTTTAGAGGTGACATGAAAATCTCAGCTTCATGTTCCTTAGAGTCCCTGTTTTACCCACAGTTCCTATTAGCATCCAAGCTTCCCTTTTCCCTACACCCTCAAAACCAGTTTCTGTAATTACTTTGCAACCCTGATTTTATACCATTGCCCTCCCCAGGTGTTTGATATAAATTACATTCAACTCCAGTGCACCCCAAAACAAAGGGGTTTTTCCCTTCATCAGATAGTTGCTGGGCAAGGGTAACAAAAGGGCCCTGAACTGGGGTGGCCTCGAGGGTATGGACTGGTGCCTGGGAAAGAGTGGCTCACTGACGCAGCAGGAAAAACCACTCTACACTCCAGGATCTGCACTGAACAGCCTGCTCTGACCACTGCCTGTATGCAGAACTTGGCAAATACAATTGCAATTAACTCACAAAGCAAACAGCAAAAGAGATATACCTAATCTAAAAAAATTTTACCTGACCAGGCAGTCACTGCGACTGTGTGAGACACCGCAACCCCTTTTTGAAGTGATGAAAAAAGTGCTTCCAGAACCACAGGGGACAGAGAGCACTTACTCATCCTGCTAGAGACATCCTGACATGCCCCAGGGCCCCCAAAGGCAGCAGGCCTCTCATGAACACTGGCAGCTTTCCCCTGAAGTGACACTTGAAGCTCCTCGATATCACACTCTGCCTGTGTCTGCCCATGCTCTGCATTAACACACATTACCTTCCCTTCGTATTTATCATCAGCCTGGTCTGAATGAGCATGTCCAGCCATCCCATGAGGTGGATGTGCAAGGAACAGTGCTGATACCAATCTACCTTACAGACTTTGTATTTTGTATCCCTTTGTGGACATCTAAGAATGTGAATACACAGGCTCCAATAGCTGTTACTGAAAACAAATTATCATATTTTCTTCTCTAAGAGGTTTTTTTCATATTGCCAACTTTCAGGAGAAAGCAAAAACATGTTCTTGCCCAGTACCTCAGAGCTTAGGAAACACCAATATTGTATTTCAATTAATAAAACAATTACATAGCAATCCCAACAGGCACAATGTACTTTCTGCAGCTCACATATACAAATTCCCTTCTTCTAGATGGTAGATTCATAGTATTTTAAGCTGAGAAATAAATCTACACATTTCCAAGCAATATACCCCGGAGTGCTTAAAAAAAATATTTCACACTGAGCATACTTCATCCAGTCCTAAGAGAGAGGCCAATTTTAGGTAGTTTGCACATGAGCAAAATTTTTAATAAGGCAATGGAGTTACATCCTCTTGCACCGTACTTTTTTGATGGCCCTAGGAGTGCAAAAATAGAAAAAGGACATTTTCATAAAGCTGTGGGCCAGAGAAACATAAAAGTTTGCAAATGATGAGCAGGTACAGTACATGGCTGACATCATCTAGGGATAACACGATGCTACAGTGTTAAATCTGACAGTGACAAAACCTGCCAGAGGGATGCCCACCATTAAATCCAACACAAAAAATATATTCAACCCAGACGACACCAGGTCATCACATAGTCAGCACATTTTTCAGACAAGCAGTCCCTGTAGCAAAATGTACCCATTCTCATACATTCAGCAAAACTAAGAGTTCTCTTGAAAAGAAGGCAAGGCCATAGCATGACAGCAAGGGATTGACCCTAGAGGGCACCCAGAGTCAGCTAATCCCCAGCTGTGTCCATTTTCTTCGTGTCCCTTGCTTAGGCTGGTATAAATTGCCAACAATGTTACCAACAATGATGAGCAACTTTCTCTGTTACTCCAAGGTTGCTGATGTCCTTTCCTATTTAAAATATGGGGAAAGATGTGGAGGTGTGGGACGGGAAAAGACCGCATCAAACAAAACAGCATCTTGATGGAAGTCCTCTTGGTGTATCTAGTTTTTATCTTTAATCAGAGAAGACAAGGTAGCAGTTGAACTAAGATTTCATTAAAGCCCTGGTGCAGACAAAGCAATAGTCATTTAACTTGGGATGAATCAGTTATTGGTCACATTTTAGTGTTTTCCTATCAAACGGTTTTGTTACACAGGTAAGACCATCTTTGTTAGCTAACATCAAAAGTCCTCCTCATTTTCCTCTAGGATATATCTGGCTTTGTGTGCAGAGGGGACACAGCAGGGTCCAGCCCTCAGTGCCTCCTAGGCCTTCCCCCATCTCAGTGAGAGGACTGTATGTCTGGGCTCAGCACATTTAAGTCCTTCTTGGCATAGCATGACTAGGTGGTCCATATTTCCCCACAGTAGGAAGAAAAAGAAACAACCACCCTGCCATTTCACATTGGCTGGTAATAAGCACCATTGCAACAATTTTATATGAAACCTGTAAGATTTTTCAATTACGCCTGGATAACATCACCTTCCACTTACTCTTCATTTGAATTTACATTGCAGTTATAATTTGGCAGCAATTCCTTCTCCTAGAGAAAACAGTGATTGGACAATTAAATGTGAAAGCTCCATGAATCACTGGGTGAGCCACATGAACACAGATATTTTTTTCTCCATTATAGTCCTACTGCCTTGTGGTTCCTCTGGTGTAAGCTCAGTTTCAGCAGAGTTTTCTCCCCAAACTTTCCCTTTACACACGCACAGACCATGGTTTAAAGGTCCCTGGCTCAGCAGAAGGGCACTGTAAAGACAAAGAAAATAACTGAGTTAGTAACAAATGAGGATCCTGGCCAGGATTTGCTATGTTCTTTTTGAGGTGGGTGACTTTGTGCTGGTGAAGATATTAGCTCCTATCCCAGTCTTTCAAAACAGAGAGATGTCTGTCTCATGGCACTTCTGTTAGAGGCTGTGCCTGGCTCTAGCTGAAGGTCTAATGGTCAGCTCCTACAGAGCCCTGTGACAACACTGTGACTGAGGAGCCCATGAAGAGACAGCGACAGGGTTAACTTGTGAACTCCTTCAGATCAAGCTCACAGCCCCTATCGAAGACTTCTGTGGCCATGACATTCAGGAGAAGGGAGTATTTTCAGTAACACTTTCCCTCCCTCCCTGAAAGACCCCCCTGGATCACAGAGCGGCCCTAACCATGTCAGCGGAGAGGGATGATACTCAGCAGCACCAGGACAAGCAGTCAGTGCTTTGTTCTACAGACAACACTTGGAGGATGGAGGGATGGACTGCAACTCCAATGACAGTGTGCAGCAGCCCTTCCTGCAATGGGAGCCCAGCAATGCTGCTCTGTGGATTTGTCTCTCAGTTGGTGGTATGTTAAATGAAGGATAACCACTATGAAATAAAACTCATCTGCTCAAGCAGGGATACAGAGCTCCATCCTGCCCTAATCCCGGCCTTGGGCCACTGTGACTACCACGCACACTCCACGTGGGGTAGGCTGGCTAGGGAGCAGACTGTGGAACCAGGGGCTGTTACCATTTTGGTGAAGATGTCCACGCAAGCATTGCGGATCCTCTCCGGGGTGGCAGGGCTGTCCAGCCTGAATGGCTCAGTCAGGCCAGAGTCCTTCCTCGCTGCGTAGATGGCATCTTTAATGGCATAAAACACCGAGGCAGACAGGAACAGGGGTGGTTCTCCCACAGCCTAGAAGACCATAAGCAAGAGTGAGACTTGCTTCCCAGATGTGAACCTCAGTCTACCAGATGTGTTCAGTGAGGAAACGTGAAGGTAAAACAGCCTCCAGGCTGTCAGGTGTGATCAGTGAGGAAAGACTGACTAAAACAATCCCCAGTCCATTTAAAGAAGAAACAGTAGGAAAAGACAAGGTTTCTGACACAGCAAGGCTGTTATGAAGGAAAAAAGGGACTAACCCATTCTCACAACAATTTGGGTGGTGCTAAAATTGCAGCACAGGGAATTCAGATAAGGCAGTGGTGAACTGTTCGGGCAGAGAGTATGATAGTCCACCACTGGAGGTCCTTGCAAGCCAGCAGAAATGCCTCCCTCAGGGATTACACAAACATCATCTAGTACTGAGGTCCCTGCCAACCCTTTTTTTCTTAATTCTGTCATCAGCACCAATCACCCAAAAAGTTCTCCTGGTTGAAGAGATGTCTTTGTGGATGAAGAGGAAATGGGAAACTGAAAGGAGGCAGGCCAGGCATATACAGATAAGGATGTGGGGTGGTCCCTCTCTGGGTGGCTCTGTTAAGTAAAGCACTTGGTGCTGTTTATCCAGCCTTACTCTGTGCAGCCCTCACTGACTGCAGTGCAAACAGCTGAAGGACATGCGGATTAATCATGGACCTTGAAGGGTGACATGAGCACCGTGAAACAGTGAAGAAAGCAAAGCATAAAAACTCAGACACAAGACCTTGCTATATGAGATCTGGGGAAACGACACTGCTGGAAACGTCCAGAGTGATGGCTCTGGTGCCAGGGAGAGGCAACCAGGGAGCTGACATGCAGGGGGAGGCTTGCAGCCTCTGATACAGCAAAACTGGCTCACAAAGCCACTTCAGTTCTGCCTAACAATCAGGGCAGCAGTGTGCAGGTTATTATAGTTCTTCCTAACTATGGGTAAGAAACAGGAAAACATCCCGACCCCAGAATAAAGACAGCATAACAAGATGAACTATTTAGACATGTAGATTATCACACCTCAGCTTCACAAAATTATAGAGCAGTAAGAGGCCTGCAGATCTTGCTGGCATACCTTAGATGAGTAAACTGCTTTGCTATTTGGGCAGTCACGGAGAAGAGACACGTAGAACTCTGTTGGGATGTCCCCAAATGCTGGGATTTTGTACATCCCAGGCCCTCGAGTGTACAGGTTTCCTTCAGGAGAGTAGCGCAGCTCCTCCATGGTGAAGAGCCCAAGGCCTTGGACAAACGCTCCCTCTATCTACAAACACATCCAAACAAGGTTACATTTTTTCTTGCTGTTGTTCCCTGTTCAAGAACAAACAGTGATGACATACCCACCAGAGTTTTGTACCCTCCGCTTCTGACTAGTATCCCTCTTTTCATCTCTAAACCCTTGTTCCTTTTGCTAAGTACAGCTTGGCACCTTTGCACAATTCCTGTATTCCCACACAGATGTGGCTGCATTACCCTGGCAGGTGAAGCAATCTCCAAATACACACAAACAGATTTTCTGTAAATGCAGGACAGGAATTTTTTGATGAAGCAAGGAGATAAAAAAAAATCAATGCTAAAATATTGATCCCTTCCCAGGTAGATTAACACTGAGTTGTAATGGCTGATAATTCAAAGAACAAGTAAACTAAAAGGACTAAAGATGAAACATCTGAAGGCAAATTATTTTATGCTTTCTATTTCAGCATAAATACTTTCCTAAGCGCTGTACATTCTCAGGTCACCAGAATAGGGACCTGAAAAATCCCTCCCATATACATTCAAGTACTAAAGACTTTCTCGCATATTTTTTCTAATATAAATTTTAGGAGAAAAAAAAAAATTAAAAAGTCAAGGGGAACAGCTCTGAGAGGAGGATGTGCTTGAACAACCCAGCATGAAGCAGCTCTGTTCTCTGTGCCCACTGAGATATCTGACAGTCAGACCAGTCTAAAGATTTGGCACAAGCCTTCATTAACCCATCTCTGTGTATTGCTTTCCTGCTCTCACACAACAACCTTTCCCACAGATCCTCTGCAGCAACTCATGGAAGGAGAAAGGAATTTGAGACCTCTTTGACAGGCTCCACTTAGCCCAGCTTTTTATTCCCAGACTCAAACTGACAGACTGCAAAGACAGAAAGCCTCATTTCCTCTTGGCCACTTCCAAAATAAGTCTCTTTCAGAAAAATACATTGCTTTCAAAGAAGTTTCATTTTAGTTATAGCAGACTCTGCAAATCATGTTTTCCTGTAAACCCCAAATCCTGCAGCAGTTTCCCTGAAGTTACATCATATCAACACCCAGAGTTAACAAGGGAGATAAGATGGGAGATAAGCCTGTGCAAATGTCTAATGATTCATCTCTTGGTCTATCAAACAACACTGTGTTTATTACCTTTATTTGCTGAGATATAGTGTGATTATTACTCCACAAAATATTGAAGTAAGCTTGTCCCTCACCAAGGAATTTGCAAGCTAAGTGACTGGTCCAACTTCCTGTCGAGAACTCTACACAGCAGTAGCCAGAGGACAGAATCTGCCACCCTAAAACTTTATTCACAGAAGAATTTTCGCTGAATTAAATGGGATTTCATATTGACAGATAGGAGTATAAAAACCAGGTGTAGGATTTAGTCTCACATACCACATTGTAAAAACTGATTCAACTATGATTGAATAAGCTGGGATGAGGTTATTCAACCACATTAGTATTCATTTCTAAGGCAAGGCAGCTGCTGAAAAACATCAGTGTGGTGGCAACTAGACAATATCCTATAGCATTAATATTCAAGGGAAAAAAACCCCAAAACCTCTGACAGAGTATTTCCCTACATAATTCTATACCAAATTTTAAAGGCTGTGTTTGCAAAGGCACAACCTGGAGAGGGATGATAAATAGAGAAGCTTGAGAGTGGTGTGACTGCTTTAACATGATGGAAATA